ACACTGATCGCTCTTTCAGAGGACCCAGGTTCGGTTCCTAGCACCCACATGACGGCTAACAACCATCCATAACTCCAGTTCAGGAGATCTGACACCCTCTTCTGACCTCTGCAGGCACTGCACAACACAGGTGCACTTACACACATGTAGGCAATACACTCATACACATAAAGTAGAAATAATAAAATAGTTTAAAAAAGAAAATAAATTTGAATACTTACTATATATTGAACACCATGCTTAATGATGAGACTGTAGCAGTAAATAAAGCAAATGTGGGCCTACAGTGTTTCTCAGTGGTAGAGCCCTTGCCTAGCACGCATAAGGCCTTAGGTTCAATCCCTAGTATCACAAGGAAAAAACAAAAACAAAACAGATGAATGTGGCATTTTGTGAGATGTGGCCAAAGGTGAGACAGACATGTAAATTAATAATGACACTTCAGTGGGATGGCACTGTGTGATGATGGAGAGACAAGAAATTGTGAGAGCAATGGAACCTCTAAAGGCAGAGGATAAATCATGTGGTCATTTGACAGTCATAGCTGAAGGAGTTTTTAAAGATCATCTTTTAATTACTGGGTATGATGGTAAATGCCTTTAATTTCAATACTCAGGAGGCAGAGGCAGGCAGATCTCTGTGAAATCAAGGTCAGCCTAGTCTATGTAGCTAAGTTCCAGGCCAACTGGGGCTACTAGGGAGATTGTGTCTAAAAAAACTCCAAATCATCTTTTAAACAAGAGGTCAGAAAGCTTTTTCTGTAAAGGGCCAGATATGAAATCTTTTAGGCTTTCAGGGCATATGGTCTCTGTGTGCCTTATAAACTCTACTGTTACAGCAGGAAAACAGCTGTAGTGGGCATGGGCTGCATTTATAGAAAGAGGAAGTAGGCTGCATTTGGCTCATGGCCTATAGTTTTCTGGCCCCTGCTTTAGAGCAGAGTTTTTCAAACCTTAGTATATACTCTTGTTAAAATATCCAGAGTCTTAAGCACTGCCTTTCTTTCCCAAGTGAGGCCTTTGTGTTCTTATGGTGCTGCTAGTAATTGGGATGCACCCTGACATGTGAATGACTCTGCTGTGGACTTGGCTGCTCCTGAGGAGCCTTCTCAGCCCTCCTCTAGCCTCATACTACTGGAGGTGTGATGCTTTTGTTTGCTTCTCATCTTATCTGTGCTTCCCTTTAGAAGGGCTGACATTGCATCTTTAATCTCAGTAGATCAGGACTGAGGTCTGTCTTGGTAGTTAAGGAATTGTTATACCTCTGTACTTAGCCATCCGCACAGAAGATATTTAATAAACTGGGGTTTGAACAAATTAATAGGACTGATTGTTCCTAGGATGCAAGCGGGTTTATATACATCTTTGTATCTGCCTTTAGAATTTTGGCTACTTGCGGAAGAAGGGGATGAGGGTGGGAAAACTGAGGCAGGAAAGTCCGGAGGAGCCACCTTAGGTCACCCTGGGTGTTGCTGTCTCTTTCAGGAGGAGGGCATGGTGCTCTCAAGTGCAACTGTTTATCAGCTCTTCCCAGACTCTATTTATAAATGGGCTAAGGAATGTAAAGAGAGGGCATCACCTTAAGTCATTTTATTTAGAGTTTGGGGAAGGCTGTTGTGGGAAAGAGAAGGGAGAACCTGGGGATGTGTCTGTGAAGGAGCAGGTGTGGATTGGTTTGACTACAGCTTCTTACTCACTGTGGATTTCCCACCCCACCCCCACCCCAGCCATGCCTTTATTCCTTCAGAGTTCAGAAGGGCCTTTTTTCTTTGCTTTTGGCTCTGCTTCGTCTCTTTGCTACAATAGTCTTTGCTGGCGTTCCTGTTGAATCGCTTATCCAAATCATTTGGCTTGGGATTTTGAGACTGGACTCTGTTAAGTGATGGTAATCTGAGATGGTCCAGATAATCTTGCAGCTAACTTTTCATGCTCCCCACTAGTACATCTCTTTCCTCCACATTGGGAAATGACATCCCCAGTCTAGAGACCCACATCGCCTTTTTATTTTGTGGTGCTGGGGATGGCACCTAGGCCCCATGCCCTGGCTCAAGGTAAAGGCAGGTGCTCTACTTCAGATTTACACCCTCAGGGACCCACATGTCCTACTGACTGCCCTGACTCTGCCACTTCTTTCACTGCACTCACCACTATTTTCAGGGGCTGTGGCTTGGAGGAGCGTGGGCAACAGGATCCTGAAGAAGAGGGAGAGATCATTCTCTTTCTCTTCCTCATGGCCTTGCAGATGTTGACTTTGAAGGGCCGGGTTATTGCAGGACAATAGAGTATTGCTAAATGGCTAGGCATTGGCCAAGTGAGATTCAGACACATGGAATGGGCCCCCTGAACTGCGTGGGCTCTCTTCACTCTCAGATGCAGTTGCCAGAAAAAACACAGTATGTTCCATGCAATATTTAGTATACACTCATAGTGAAATAGTAACTTGTTTATCTAAAATCAAATTGATCTGGACCTTCTATACTTTTGTTTACTAAATCTACCAATCCTTCCAAGACTTCTCTGACTTTGGGTCACTCCCCCTGGTCTAGGACTGTGGTTGGGAGGACCTTTAAAGATAACTGATCTTGTCATCTTCTTCCAGGAAGCCTGCCACCCACACCATTTGGGAGAGATGGGTAATTGTTTTCCTTTGAAGACCTAGAATTCTACCTGTCTAGCCTATACCATCATGTAGAATGGGAGAAATTTCACTTTGAGGTTTGAGGGTCAGCCTTATCCCAAACTTTCAAAGAAGTTACAGCTTCTTTTCCCAGAAGAACTGGGGTCCTTCATTCCTGGGAATTCAGACCCTGGAACCTCACAGCCTCTCTCCAGGAGCTCCTTTAATTATAGACAAGTTATAATTTGGTGGGTTGGGAAATGGCCAGCTTGGTTTGTGGTGGTGGTTGTTTTTGTGTAGTATGTGGTGAGCTTTGGGTGTATGTTTAGGGAAGAAGGTGGGAGGTAGAGTGGAAAGTGGGTGGGACTTCCTCTTCAGGCTCATCAACATCCATATATACAAACACCTAGTTTCATAACATCGGAGATTGCCAGAATGAGGTCACTTGTTAGACACCTGAGGTTTATGGGAAGCTGAGCACTACAGAATATAATCAGCTGACCCTCAGAGGAGTGATGTAACTTCTGTCTGCTTTGTTTGTTGACTGGAGTTGAACAAAGAAATCAGCTTCCAATAGGGTTAAGATTTTAGATGACTAAATATTTTCTGGGCTGGCTGGATTACTGATCTCTAAGATTGCTGAGAAGGCCACTGAGTTTATAGCCCTTAGGGATGTAAGTGTCTGAACAAGGACAACAGACACAAATGCCTATGGGACAGTGAAATGGCTAGGTATGAGAACAGCACCAGTGACAATGGCAGTTGGTGCTTATGAGCACTTATTCTGTGCCAGGCACTGTTGAGAGTTCTTTAAATATGTTTAGCTTAGTCATTCCTCATCACAAGTTTTTAAATGAGTATGAATATTTGCTCTGTTTTAAAGATGGAGAAATAGGAAACAGATATCCAGAAAGGTTAGTTTACTGAAGGTCAGATAAGTGAAGTAAGTATTTAAGCCAGTATTCAAACCCAGGCAGTCCTGGCTGTGCAGTACGCAGTATCACAGACCCAAGGACAAGGCCCACTCTGCCTGTATTTAGGGGAGAAAATGGAGAGTGATGGGGACTCTGTCAAGTAGAAAACATGTTTCACTTGAAAAGGGTCAGCTGTTCTCAGCTCTAGCCAGTGGCTGCTCTGTAGGAATATAGGTTCCAGAACTGGCAGGTCTGTGCACATTTGTATGTTTGTAGGGCTGGGAATGGAACCCAGGAAAAGCCCAACAAATGATAGGCGAGATCTTTACCACTGAGCTTAGTGAGTCCCCAAATCAATTTTCAAAATGAATACACATGAACCCACACTGAGTGAGCTAGATTCAGCTTGAAAACTCTTGATTGATTGATTGATTGATTGATGATTGGTTGATTTTTGTCAAGAGTATATTCACAACCATTTCTGGTGATTTCTGCTCTCTGTTTCTCCTCCCAGAGTGTCCCAAGGGTCCTGACATCCTGGTGGTCCTGCTGTCTGTGATGGGAGCCATTCTTCTTATTGGTCTTGCTACTCTGCTCATCTGGAAGCTCCTGATCACCATCCATGACCGGAAGGAATTCGCTAAGTTTGAGGAAGAACGAGCCAGAGCAAAATGGGACACAGTAAGAAGCTGTGCTAGGTTTTCTTAAGTCTTTGGTTCATGGACCTGAGGCAGAGGCAGCAGGTGCCCAGCGGTTAGACTTAGCCCCACAATCATTTCCCAGTTGTCCTCTGTTCTAGAAATACAGAGATGGTCTAACTGTCTTTGTCTTTATACTTCTTAAAACCGCTTAATACTCTACCACACAGTGACCACAGGCCATGTCATGAACACTGATTAGGCACACACAGGATTCTGTGAAGAAGTGAGAAAATTATTCTCCATTTGAGGGAGACAGGACAAATCCACATCAAGAACATCTAATACACTATATAGCGGTAATAAAGTCCAAAGCGTTAAGTGAACAGAAAGTGATGTAATAGCTGACATTTACTGAGGTCTGTGCAGCAAGGACTATTCTAAATCCTCTTGCTATCTTATCTCCTGTAATAGCCCTATGTGATGGGCAATATTATCATTGCCATTTTATAGCTAAGGAAACCGAGGGCAGAGAATTAAAATAGCTTTCAGTGATACAGGAAGGAATTAGTTAACTACAGGAATTACTTTTGAGTCAGTCTCTTAGATGTAGTGGAAGCATTAGTCTGATCCATTCTCTTCTTTTTGGAAATGAGAGATGGCAGCTTCCAAACCAGGCTCTTCTGAGCCCTGCAGTTTATCCTGATTTAATCCAACCAAATGAGCACTTTAAACATTTTATTATTTATTTATTTATTTATTTATTTATATTTATTTGTGTGCATGTTTGTGGGTACATGCATGCCATGGTGCACATGTGGAGATCAGAGGACAACTTGCAGGATTCTGTTCTATCCTTCTGCCATGTGGATTCTGGAGGACTGAACTTGGCTTCATTAGGGCTGGTGGCAGATGGCTTTACTCTCTGTGCTGTCTCGCCAGCCTATCAAATGAGCATTTTAGTTATCCTCCTTTTGTTCATTTAATTTTTTTTCTGAAGTCCTTCCAAGTGGCAGTTTGAGTTTCTAGGATTAGGCTGAAACTTTGTTCCTATTTAATGTTGACCAAGTGGTCCAAAGAAACTGGGATGTTTCTGTTGGGACCATGAATATTTTGAGCCACCGAGGGACCCAAGAATGTCTTGATTTCTTGAATTACCATCAAGGAGTCCTGATCATAGGGGATCTGTCACTTTTTGGGGGAAATAATTTGGGAAACCTGGTAAAAGGCCTTCCTTTTCCCAGCCACAGGACAGTTTTGTGGGTGGCAATTGTTTGGAGAGATGAGATAAAAACAAATTAAGAATTATTTTAGCTAGTCTCTGTCCCAGCCACTAGCAGCTACATTTTTCTTTCTGGCCCATAATCACTTAGCCCTGCCACAATGAAGGAAAAGAAAGAGAGAAGGAAGTAGAGAGAGTTAGTAAAAGCTATGGTACAATGTTTTAGGATCGCTAAAAAGTGACAGGCTAAATGTAAAACTCTTAGAAATAGTGATGGGGAAGTGGAGGGCTGGAGACATGACTCAGTGGTTAAGATCACTGATTGTTCTTGCAGAGGACCCAGGTTTGGTTCCCAGCACCCACATGGTGGATGCCAACCATCTCTAACTCCAGTTTCAGGAGATCCAACACCCTCTTCTGACCTCTTCAGGCATTGCATAACATGGGTGTACTTACATGCATGCAGGCAGTACACTCATACACATAAAATAAAAATAATAAAACATGAAAAAATTAGTGACTATGTAGAAATCTGCCTTCTCTCTCCTCTTGTTTCCTATTCCCATTTTACGAGCAAAAGTTTAAGTATGAATATTAGCTGGTTTTGATTGTTCCAGAGAAGGGTCTTGGGCAGGCTTCTCAGATGAAATTTAACCTGTTAGGGTAAGGAAGCATGAAGGAGCTCACTGTAAGATTCTCTTCTGTTTTTTCTGCAGGCCAACAACCCACTGTATAAAGAGGCCACCTCCACTTTCACCAATATCACCTACAGAGGCACTTAATGACAAGAGGTCATCCTTAGATCATTGCCAGATCATGTCAGGACTGCAGGAGTCTTTCTGCCATCATGTTTACAGAGGACAGTGGGTGGGATTGGGGGTTTGGAGTGGGGTAGGCTAGAAGAATGAATGTGGAAGTGTGTCTATACGTATGCACGTGTGTGTGGAGTGTGGGGAAATGTGTAATTTAAAGTTTGTGATGCGTCCCGTGTAGGCAGAGCTCCTCAGCCTTTGTTCTCAGAATGCGTACTGCAGGGATTCTTCTTGCTTAGCTTGAGGGGACCCATGGAGCTGAGCAGGTAGGTGTACTGTTAACCTCAGTGAGAAGCCAGCTTTCCTGTCAGGCTAGTCTCCCTGAAGAGAAGTTCAGGGCTGAGGCATCTCATTCCAGAGCAAGAGATGCCACGTCTTGGCTCTACACTGAGTATATAAGTTTCCGGTTCTTGGGCCTGACTGTCAACAGCCGTGGTAGGAAGTACTGGGCTTTGCAGCCTAGTTGTGTCACCTGTGCCTCTGTTCCCTTCCCTCCCTCAGGCCGAAGGTAGAGTTAGGAGAGAGCTGCTGTTGTCTTTTGCCATCACCTCATTTCATTGTGGTTCTCTCTTAAGGAGAGTCCTTGCCACCTGCTTCTTTGTTGAGAATGAGGATGATAGGGCCACTCAGGGGTCATGCATGGCCTGGGGGCTGTACCAGCACCCCTCAGTTCATAATCACAGCCCTTCAGAATAGCCTCAATGGCAGCTCTACCCCACAGATTTGTATAGAAGTGTCATCCGTAGAGCCACATCATCTCTTACCTCCTCCATTCACACCTTCATTGTTACAGATGTTTGCTATGCACTGGGGATATCGCTCATGACCAAATGCTTTTCCTCCAAGGGAAAGTGCTGTGGTCAGACTAGAGTCTAGCCCTGCTCTTCAGGACTTCTGCCCCTCTTCCCAGGCACCTCCACACACCTAACCCCCTGTCTCTATGTGCTACACTCATCCATGGGGGTGATTGTATTTACCTACCTCTTGGGTGTCTTGTGAAGGAGTCATTCCCATGAGTCTGCTGAGCGAAGTGCAAGGATGGAATGATGGGCCACTTGGATCTGCATGTGTGGCCCGCTCTCTGGTGGGCTGGATGACCTCATTTTATCTGGGCAGCCACATGTGCAATTTTATTTTATTCTCATTGGGATGCCTGAAATTATGATGAGGTTTGCTTAATCTAAAGGAACATGTATATAAACATACTTGCATTGTATTTGTAATTTTATATGATGACACACAGACTTGGACAGGATACAGACATGCCCACTTTTCTTTCTTTCTTTCTTTCTTTCTTTCTTTCTTTCTTTCTTTCTTTTTTGGTCTTTTGGAGTCAGGGTCTCCCTGTAGCCCCAACTGGCCTGGAACTCACTATGTAGACCAGGCTGGCCTTGAACTCACAGAGATCCACCTGCCTTTGTCTCTCAAGTGCTGAGACTAAAGGCGTGCGCCACCACGCCTGGTGACATGCCCACTTTTCATTGCTTTTAACGACTTGCTGCTCAGTCGCTGGGTTTGTAAGGGGCTCTCTCCTGGAAACATGTGGAGATGGGGGTATATGGACACATTGGACCTTTCTTGAGGAGGACAGACTGACTGTTCTTTTGTCCCAGCAAGAGCAGTTGCTCCATTGGTGTTGATTTTGATCCACCATTAAAAACTAACCCCCACCACCCTAGGAAGAAAGACTTATAAATAGTGATCTTGTTGATTGGAAAATCTGAGTCCTGGCCTCAGTGTTGCAGCTGAAGAATCTTTAATGTTGATTAGGTAAAATCACTTACTTCCCCTGGAATTCAGTTTTCTAGTTTGAAAACTGATGAGTTTGGACCAGCCAATTTTAAAGGTCTCTTTCAATAACAATCTTTTTGTTTTCCTTTTCCTGAAAGCCGGGGTCTTTTGTAGCCCAGACTGGCCTCAAACCCACTATGTAGCTGAGGATAACTTGAACTTCTGATCCTCCTTGATTACACCTTTCAGGTGCTAGAATCACAGGCATGTGCTACCAGGACTGCTTTATATGATCCCAGGGATCAAACCCAGGGACTTCATGCATGTTAAGCAAGAACACTACCAGCTGATCTATATCCCCAACCTCAGTATCAGCATTCTAAAGATGCTGAGATTGAATGTGGCATCAAACATGCAATCAAGACTCTGTGTGTAAGGGACTGGAATGATCCTCAGTGGTAGAATATTTATGGAATATTCTCGGTTTGATTCCCAGCACTGAAAAAACAATTATTTTGTGTGTGTGATATTGCTAGTGTTTTCTTTCAGTTGGGAGATCAGAATGACTTGGCTTGAACAGGAATAGATATCATTCTTATAACCTGTCTCAGTGAATCTCATTCTCTCTCAGAACCCCTTCATCGTTTGTTAATGAGCACATCTCCTGGTGGAGCACCTAAGCTCCAGTTAAGTAGTTCTTAGTTCACTTTGTGTGCATTTGCATATTAGGAAGAAGCAGCAGTAGAAGTGGCTGATCTACGTGTTAACACTGAACAGGCCCTGAGAACAGGAATGAGGCAAATGACTAGGTACTGTCTTGCCCTTGGGGGGCTCTTGCTGTAGGAGATAGGAATATGGTAGAAGGTAAATGGGACATGGGGAAGGAGGATCACAGATCCAGGACCTTTAGATATTAACTCTAATCTTTAGCTACTGAGGAAGAGTCTGTGAGACTAGAGTGGGATATTTTCTTTAGAGAAGATAGTTTATATGAGGAAACTATCAAAGGAGGAAGAAAAAGAATTAATGGGATGAAAACTTCAGTAGGAGTCTTGTGTGAATTTCTGGAGTGAGGCTTGTAGTCCTTGAAGGCCAGTAATGTTTGTCAGTATGTGGGAATAACTAGCTGTTTTCACCAGCTAATGAGGAATAGGGTAGGTAAGCAACCAAAAATTATTCTGGCATTGGACAATAGAGTGCAAAGGGATTGTACACTGTCTTATACAGGTAATTTATGACCAGTCTCAGGGTCTGTGGACAGTAATAGGAAACTGAACATTCCTGAAAAATTGCTTTTTTGAGTCACCTGTTTACCTCTTGGATAGTCCCAGGCTGTCTTTAGTGTCAAGATGCTTCTCTTTGTTAAGTCTTCCTGGTTGAAATTACTTAAGTGCCTTCCTGACTTCCTCAACACCCCTGAGTTGGACAACAGTGAATAAAATGTGCTTTCCAAAAGAATTGGCCTAAGGCTACCCTGTGTTTCCTGTGTTTTAATGTCTGTTTTCTTCTGGGTGAAGAGTATGACTGCCTCCTAATGACCACTTCAGAAAAAGTACATTTCCAAATGGAACAGAATGATGACTACTGTAGGAACTGAAGCTAGCTTCAGAATCCAGAACTTTGTATTAATATTTTCAAACCAAGCAAACTGTTACTACTCTGTTTTTTTTCAACTCCCCAATGTAAATTTATTTAGGAGCTTTTGAAGCCTCAATAGAACAAACTGTCATGGTAGCCTAGGTTTTGTTTGTGGGAATCATAACTGAGTAAAGCCTTAATGGCAAATTATTTACAGGACCATTCACATGCGTAACTTTTAAGATGGTGGGTGACAAAGTGTGGTCCCCAGACCAACAGTAGTAGTATCACCTGGAAACTTCAGAAATGAAAATTGAGGGGTTGGAGAGATGACTCAGTGGTGAAGAACACTTGCTGTTCTTTAAGAGGACTGGAATTCAGTTACCCGCACCCACATTGGGTAGCTCACAGTTGCCTGTAATTCCAGCTCCAGGGGATCTGACTCCTTCTTCTGACCTTCACAGGCACCCACCCACACATGTATGTACAGACATACACATACTCAGACACACAGACATATAAATGAAAATAAAAATAAAATAAATCTTAAAAAAGAAAATTGACAGGTCTCATCCTAGACCTACAGTCATGGCATTCTGGGAAATCTGTTAGGCAGTTTTGTTGTGGGAACATTATGGAGTACACACTAAAACTGGGTGGTGCAGGTCAGCCACCTCCTGAGGCCTCTTGATTCAGTCAACAGGATTCAGTAAACAAGAGATGAGGCTGCTGCCAAGGAAACAGAACGTACTGTTTTAAACTGATAAGAATAGATACTATATTTGATCTTAGCAAAAGGGCCAAGAAGGGATAGAACATACTGTTTTATAGTAAACTTAAAAATATGAGTATATGCTAAAATAATAAAAATGTAGTATGATAAATACATAAGCCAGCAACATAGCTAGCATCATCATCAAGTGTTATGTGCTGTACATAACTGCATTGCTATACTTTGGCAGCTCAGTAGGTTTGTTTACATTTGAGTAATGGGTTGCACTACAGCATTATGAGTTATGGTGTCACTAGATAAGAAAATTTTAACTGTAGTATAATCCTATGAGACCACTGTCGTATATACTGTTAACCAAAATGTGGATGGAGCCCAGGAATCTGCATTTTAATACCCCCCTTCTCTGATGATTCTCCCAAGTGCTTATTTGAGAATAAGAAGTCTTTTATATATCCTTTTGACACAGAAAGTTTGTAAGTTTAGTTACTATACCATAGACATTCATTGGTGGATAGTTCAGAAAGAATATTCAATTACACAAATCTTTAAATTTAAAAAAACAATGTGGTATTAGTTTGGCTTATTTTAATCTCAGTTGCCTCTGTTTACCTATAAACATCCTTCATTTCTCTTTATGGCTAGAAAAAATTCCATTTGTGTGTGTGTGTGTGTGTGTGTGTGTGTGTGTGTGTGTGTGTATGTGTGTGTACCATAGCATGTGTGTGGAGGTCAAAGAGCAACTTGGTGGAAGTCAGTTCTTCCAAATGAATCCTGAGGATTGAACTCAGGTTTGGTGGCAGGTGTCTTTACCTGCTGAACCATCTTGCCAGTCTCCCAAATCTACTTTTGATTCATTTCCCAAGTTAAGTGATCTTAGAATTCTTGAGTTTCTTCATAGACACAAATTCTTTAAAAACTAAAAGAAACAGGAGATCTGGGACCCTGAAAAACAACAAGGATAAGGATACTTGACTATAATAATCTTTTCCTTTGAATCATAAATGACTTACATAATAAATATTTTGGGGTGGCTGGAGGGATGGCTCAGTGGTTAAGATCTTGTAGGGTGATCCACGTTCAGTTCCCAGCACCCACCATCTGAGCCACAGCTCACCATCGCTTCTGACTCCTCCTGACTTAAAAGACTAAGTGGACATAGATAATCATTTTATGCTGAAGTCTTGTGAGATTCATTATATTTTATTTACATTTAGGTAACTAGTAACTCAATGTCTCGGGGGAAACAGGGCTTTGGTTAGGTTCTTGTTTCTCTTATAAATACCGGAGAATAATCAACTTATAGGAGGAACAATTTATTTCAGCTCACAGTTTTGAGATTTTGATCCTGGGATGGCTGGATCCATTGCTTTTAGGCTTGTTGAAAAGCAGAAACAACATGATGGAAGGGCATGGCAAAGAGTGGTTTACCTCATGGTGGACAGGAAGCAGAACAGGAGAGGTAGGACTGGTGATGAGAGACCATTCAAGGGTTCCAGTGACCTGCTTCCTTCAACTGGGCCCCCCCTAGTTTCCACCACCCCAATAATGCTATCATATTATGAATTCATCAGTGGATTGATAATGTTGATTCGATCTAGCACCATTCTGATCCAAACATCACCCTTTCAAAACTCCTCTGATTATTGCAATAGGGACAAGTCTTGGACACAGTTTTTTTTTGTGTGTGTGTGTGTGTGTTGTGTGGGACATTGTCCATCCAAAATATAACATTTTGCCCTTAGAAGCTTATGTCCATCTTCTAATGGAAAATTCATTTTGCCGGGTGTGGTGGCATACGCCTTTAATCCTAGCACTCGGGAGGCAAAGGAAGGCAGATCATATGTGAATTCAAGGCCAGCTGGAGCAAAAGACCACCCTCCCCCCCAAAGAAAAGAAAAAGAAAAAAGCTAAAAAATTTATTTAGTCCTTTACAAATATTTCTGTAGTCTTAACAGTTCCACCACTGTTGGAAGTCCAAATCTCCTGAGAGAAAAGACAAAACTCTAAGCTGAGAACTACTAAAATTAATAAGTAAATCACATATTTTAAGAAACACAGGGCTGGTGAGATGGCTCAGAGGGTAAAATGCTTGTAGCACAAGCCTGACAACCTGAGTTTGATTTCTAGGAGAGCCTGTT